GTTCTCTAGGCCTTTTAGAAAACATGGAGTGGTTCCTTTGGCAACATACACACAAATCTACAAGAAAGGTGATATTGTAGACATCAAGGGAATGGGTACTGTTCAAAAAGGAATGCTCCACAAATGTTACCATGACAAAACTGTTACCCAGCGCGCTGTTGGCAGTGTTGTGAACAGGCAAGTTAAGGGCAAGATTCTTGCCAAGAAAATTAACATATGTATTGAGCATATTAAGCATTCTAAGAGCAGAGATAGCTTCCTAAAATGTGTGAAGGAAAATGATCAGAAAAAAAAGGAAGCCAAAAAAGAAAGGTACCTGGGTTCAACTGAAGCATCAGCCTGCTCCACCCAGAGAAGCACACTGTGAGAACTAATAGAAAGGAGCCTGGGTTTCTAGAACATATTCCCTATGAATTCATGGCATGATGTTAAAAATTAAATAATTTAATTTAGTTAAAAATAAACTAATCTATGGACTGTAAAAAAAAAAAAAAAAAAAAAGCTATACAATCAAGAGCCATTAGGTGGCATGGTGGTTAAGATCCTGGACTCACACTCGGTTAACCATGGTTCAAGTCTCAGATCTGGCAGCTTGAAAATCATGCCGGGAATGTGTGCCCAAAATCCCAGGAGGAGCCTAGAGGAAAAGGGATTACAACATGGCCATTTCCCCTGGGGGTGATTTTTCACTTTCCCTCTCACTGCTTCTGTCTCTGGCTATCCAATACAATAACCAGTAGTCACATTTAGCTATAAAAATTCAAATAGAAATTAAATTAAATTAAAAATTCAATTACCTAGTCCTGCTGGCCACATTTCCAAGGCTTGGTAAGCCACACATGGCTATCATACCAGAGAACAGAGATACGGAACATTTTCATCATTACAGAAGGACTGCAAAGGCATTTCTTAGCAAAAGACAAGAAAAGCCATGGACCAGCAGGTAGCATGGTGATTAAGGCAGTGGACTCCCACATGGCCAACCACGATTAGAGTCCTGGACCTGGAAGCTTGCTTTCTTACTCTCTCTCTCTCTCTCTGTTTCTCTCTGGTGAATTAAAATAATAATAATAATAATAATAAAATACACACACATTTAAAAAGCAATATATTACTTTTGTGGTATGTAAACCATGTGGTAGATTACACTATTGGCTCCAATTCTTCACTCCTACTTGAATCCACTCATTTGCAAAGGTCTCACCCTGAAAAGAATGTACTTTGCTGTCCCTCCACTTTGGTCTTGGCATGTGACTTGCTTTGACCAATGACATACAGGCAGAAGTGGCAGTGTGGCAGTTCTGAGTCTAGGCTTTAAGGGGTGATTCCTGTGCTGATCTAGAAGAAGACAAGAATCAAACAATACAATGAACATTCCTTTATTTATGTCCTCTGGGACCAGCTATCAGCCAGCAGGCTAAGAGCTCTTTGCAAAGCTGACATTATTTCTACCTATTAACCCATCCCATTCTTACACACACACACACACACACAAACACACACACACACTTTATTCTAAATTTACTTGTCTGCAAATACAACTAGGTGGAACTTCAGACAGGAACAGGGTACAGCCAAGAATAATTTAATAGAATTGTGGGATCTTCTGATGTGAGGCTCGAGACTGGAAGAGGCATCAGACTGTAGAAGTTGATCCCAGGCTTTTTTACATGTTTGAAGATCCTGGTTTGACAGGTACGTACTTGGGGTCCACACAGCACTTAATCCCAGCTTTGCATAAGATATGGAATACTTCACCCTCTTTACACGTTGATCTGCACCTGCCCGACTTACCCCAACACTTCATGACTGAAAGAAAAACGGAAATGAGAGTCAGGTCAGTCTTGAAAGAAAGAAAAAGGCTGGGGAAGGGACAAGCCAAGGCTCAGTTAATAGCATAGTAGGAGCTGGCAAGTGGCATGGTGGTTAAAAGCACTGGACTCCCACATGGCCAACTGCGGTTCAAGTTCCAGACCTGGTGGCCTGCTTTCTCACTTTCCCTCTCTCTCTCTCTCTTTCTCTGTATCTCTTTGATCAAACTGGAAAATAATAATAAAAAATAAAGTTTAATAAATAAAATAAAATAAAATAATTCTCTTTTTTTTTTTTTTTTTGGGGGGGTTTTTGCTATGGGGGGCATTGCCCCGCC